TTTAATAAAACAAATCGCAGTGAACAATGGTTATGAAGCACAATTAATTACGAATATTCTCAAAAATAAAAGATATAAATTAGCTATTAAACAAACTTTCCCTTCTCTTATCAACCCAATTAATACGTTCAATACTTGTACATATGTAGGTTCCAACATGAGACATGTTTCCACATTTTTCAAAAACATTAATGCCAATATCGCGCTTAAAACTAATAACAATTTAAGTATGTTCATAAAAAATAACAAAGATAAGTCTAATAGACATATGAAGTCAGGCGTATACCAATCTAAAAGTCGATTCAGCCTATGCATCACATCTTATTACAGAAAACCATACTTTTAATAACAACTTTAAAATATTACATTTGAAAAACAAAGGTATTAAATTAAATCTACTCGAATCTCTAGAAATTAATAAACTTAAAAATACTAAGAATATTCTCAATGATCAAATAGAAACTAATAATTCACCACTTTTAAATCTATTTTAATTTTATTAACATATAACAATAGCATTATATAAAATATTCACACTTTTATAATATTTAATAAATAAAATACAAACTATAAACAGATTAGGTTTTTCCCATTAGGTATTTCTGAATGTGATCCTAGTTTATTATTATGTAACACAGGTAGATGTTAAATGATTATCCTTACCTAAAATACCAATATTTTTTTTTATATATAAGTATTTTGTATTATTTTTAGTTTTAATACATTTTGAAGAAGCTACTGTGTAGCGAAACAGCTGTCAAAATTTAATAAATTTCGTGAAACTTTACAACAAAATTGTTTTTATATCTACATAGATAAAATTAATAAAGAATCGCTCACATTTTAAAAAATTACTAAAAAATAGATGTACGTTTATAATATACAGGTTTAAACAAATAGAAGTTTTTTAACATAAGTTTAAGACACTCCATAGAACACCCCGACCGTCCCGGACGCAGATATTTTATCCTTAACCAACGTCCCGAGTCCCGGACAACATTTGTCAAAGATTCCACTTCAACCACAGAACTTCAACTATTCATACGAACATCGATAACCGTTATCGGATAACGTGGAGCCTACACAAGGAGCCCGAACTTATTGGGAACTTAATAGGGAAAATTGACAAAACCTGCCCTCTAAATTCCACAAATTAAGTCTTTTTTTCACCACCAGCGGCGCTGATTGTTGATGCGTCCTGACGTCTGCTCTTTTGGTAGCGTTTCGGTACAAATTAGTCAATTGTTTCAGAATAAGCGGTACACCAGCGCCGACTTTCCTTAGGAAGATTCTTGTTTACATGCAGTTCGGACTCCTTGTGTAGGCTCCATGATCGATAAGCTGATTTTCACAAATTTCTTCTTCTTCTTCTTCTTAATTCTGATCACAATTCTGTGTTCAGAGAAATGACATTTAGCTTATTTCACAAATTTTATTCATACTGATATCATTGACTATTTGTTATATGCTTTATTATCTATTGTTATATGCCGGTTTATCAATGTCCAGATAAGTGTCTTAACTGGTAAATAAAATTAAAGTGGTAGCTAAACTGTTTATCAATATCGCCGACGGTGGTCTAGTGGTCTAGTGCATGCTGGCTTAAGCCGGAGGTCGTGGGTTCGAATCCCACCAGGGGTATGGCTGTTTATTTGTGTTTGTCCTATTGTGTATTAGTCCTTCGGAGGGGACTTTAAGCCCGCGATCCGTTCCTACCCCTAACCCGCACAAGCCATTCAGTTGGCTTATGGGACTTCTTAAGAAGTAAGGGTGGAACTAAAAGAGCACTTTTGTATACAAACTTTTGTATATATGCAATTAACGTTTACTAAGAACTTAAATTAAGATAACTGGAAGTAAATTTAACTGGAAGCTGCAAGTGTCAGATATTAACTACCAGTTATCGCGGTTTATAGGTTATATTTTTGTTTGTGTAGTACAACACGTGTTGTTTTTGAAATGAATATTGGAGATTTTTTTGAAAGTCACGACGATGAACAAATTATTGACACGAGAGAGACTTATACAGTTTTAGAACGGAAAGAAGTTCTTTCAAAGAACATTTTCAAAATTATGACGGTTTTTTTTACATATCCGCTGCAGAAGCAAAAATAGAGGAGGAAATATAAACTTTTACGGATATGTACGTACAAGTTCTTCGTATTTGTCCACGTATCAAGAGAACAATTTGAACCGACAGATTTTTTTTGGTTAATTTATTTTAAAAATGCGATATTTTTAAATTAATGTGTGTAACAAAGAATAAAAGATAATAAATTGTATAAAAAGATATTTAGGTATGTACGTATTTTTATTTAAAAACATACCCATATCTACACCTATAAAATAATAAAGAAACATAACAATTTACACAAAATAAGAGTCGTTTGAGGTTATGTGTTTTATGCGCATGTCATGAATTTAAATTTAACCAATTAAAATGTATCTTGACAGTGTTGCCCAATTGCCGTATTGCTAAACCCTGTTAAAAATCACCCATAAAGACCAATAGAAAAGCTATTGGGATTTTCCAGCGGTAGCTCTATTGGTTTGAATTGGTCTCAATAGTGGTATCTGTACCATGAATCACCAATTCAAACCAATAGCGACACCGCTGGAAAATCCCAATACAGACTAATCGAATTTCCCAATAGAGAATGATAGAGGTGAATTAAATGTTAATGGTAATTCCCAATAGAAGAGCTATTTGGATTTTCCAGAGGTACCGCTATTGGTTTGAATTGGTCCCCACTATCCATTTTAGACGTCTTTAAGGTAAAACATTACGTGTTTTGATGGTTAAATAATTTCTCAAAAATAGTGCTGTTTAACATTTAATTTAAATTTTATAAATAGCTTCTGCTAAAAGTAAATAGTGGGGCCACTGCTTACTTTTCGCAGAATGGGCAAAATAAACCGGTTATTATAATAACCGGTTATTTTGTTTAGGTTAACCGATTTTTAACCGGATATTTTTTTGAGCCAGTTAAACCTAAACTTTAATAAAAAACCGATAACCGGTTTTTTAATAACTTGTGTAGTTACTTTTGTTCGTGCGAGTTGGCTCTACTAACTTCACTTTGACAATTGACCGTTGTCTTAAATGAGCGCAAGGGCATCACTGCATAAATGTTTAAGACAATATCTGCAATGGAATGTTTTAATTCATTTTAAACGTCGCGCCTATTTTACAGTTGTCAACCCTGCCGATGACGTTTATTTTTTAAAACTTTTGACAGAACAGCCAAATTGACAATTTATACTGCAATTGATTTCGTTTATAATACCTACCTATTGGGTCCGTTTGTTCAAAATGTTTAATAAAAAAGTGCTGTTTGGGATTTCCTTACAAGAAACAACAAAAAAAACAGTTTTTTGGAAAACCGGTTATTTTCACCAGGTTAACCGGAGCAAATTAAACCGGAATTTATTTAAACCGGTTAACCGAAAACCGTTTTTTTTTTAGAACGGCCCATCTCTAGGCCACAGGACGACCTGTGCCCCTTTAAAAATTCCAAAACGCCAAGCGTTTCCATGGCCAGTAATTTTGCCTTAGTAAGGAATCCTTACTTAGCAGCTCAAGGCATTCCACCTTTATATGCCTATGTATTGTGCTACAGAGGCGAGAGGTATGCATGGGTTGCCTACCTATTGGCAAATTTTGAAAATAAATATTAAAGTGGTATATACCAATAGGGTTCCTTGTACCTACACAACGATAAAATACCAATTCAGACCATTAGTTTATCTATTGGTATTTTCCAGTAAGAAAATTGCCAATAGAAACAAGTGGTCATTTGTATTAAATTGCGCAGGCGCTTAACATTTAAGTGGTATTTACCAATTGAATTTCAATTGGGAATTTCCTGTACTTGTAACTTCTTATAAAACCAATTCAGACCATTAGGTAATCTATTGGCATTTTCCAGTACGGAAATTACCAATAGAAACCAATGCTCATTCTGTTGAGAAACCAATAGGCCCAATAAAGACCAATTCATTCCATTCTGATTTTTTATTGGTTTCTATTGGTCTCTATGGGTGATTTTTAACAGGGAACTGGCAGATAAGAAACTGGAACCGTACGAGGTGAAGAAAAACACTTCTATTCGGATAACTGTCAGATAAAGGTAACTGTAAGATACTTAACCTCCACTTTTAGTTGGAAATCTCAACTCAATGGTTTGTTGTCTAAAATTAAGTAAAAAATAAAATATTGACTTTTCTGTGACGGGGCCAAATGTGTATTTACTAAATACACTTAAAATACGCATAAATACTATTTAGATAATTAGAATAAAAAGTTATAAAATAAACAACTTTTTCTTTTCAAAAAAGCACATACTTGGAATTCGAAGTATGTGCAAAAACGTGGTTTTGCCGCCATCTGTTAATAACATTTTTTTTTTTAATTATTTTTAATGTGCCTTCAACAGGCTCAATTACAGAAGTACACAATGACAAACACAAATAAACAGCCATACCCCTGGTGGGATTCGAATCCACGACCTCTCCGCTAGGGTGGGTCGAAAAACAACTTTTTTTCGCAGGCGGAACGTAATAGCGCGAAAAAGTTGCATTTCGTCAAGACAATCACAACAGAAAAAAAAAATTTGAATTTGCACAATATTTACCTATGGCGCATCGCGTCTGAAGTTTCATCATTTAAGCCGATTTTGAGCTTTTTGGAAATTTTTTTACATTGTCCAAAAATGTTCAGATTGCATTCTGAATCGGCTCAGGTAGACACCTAGACCTGTTTTGAAAAAAATAATATTTTTTGGACTTTCGAAGCAGCCTGAGTCACAAGTTTGACTGTGCGTTCAACCGCTTGCGTATGATTTGGAAAGTCTCGAAACTCTAAGGTAGGTAATGTGCCATTTAATTTTATGAGATCTTCTATGTTCTCAGTTAAGTAATCTGTCAGCAATGGAGGGCAAGAAAGCTTAATATTGGACCAATCAATCATGTCTGTATAAGTTTTTGCATTAAAATTGATTTTAGGAAGTATAAAATGTCTGATTGTTTTCTGCTTGTCCGTTTTTTTTTGCTTTTAGGATTCGCCTTAATGCAAGTGCTTTGATTATTGGGTCTTCATCAACAAGCATTGCAAGTAGCAGGTTCTCTGGGTGAGCAAAGAAAGCATTGTGCTGAATGACAGTATCAACCGTTTTCCTGAGCGTTTGTGGTAAGTACCTAGAAGAGACTATGCATTGAAATACGTGTTTGGGTCCATCAAGTATTGAAGGCTTGGTTTTTATGGCAAACCATAACGGTGAGTATACTCTTAGTATGTAGGTAGTCAGATGGATAAGAGAGGCTGACGGTTTTTTGCAGGACACATAGAGTCTGAGGATACGGTGTGCTGCAGTCAACCATCTGGAATGATTTAGGGGACCAGGATCACGCAGAGATAAATCCGGAGGAAACACACCAGAACTGATGGCAAGAGAGATTTCGTAGAGATACTTTTGATCTGAACTTAGAATATCTTTATTCAATTCAGGGAGAGAGCATTCTATTATTTGGAAATCAACCACAGGTTTGGAATGTAGTGAGCCCTGTATCTGTTTTCCAAGATGACCAGAGTAAGTATGTGGGCTACTTGTTTTCCCATCCAAAGAAATGAACAAATGCCTCAAGGGTAGTTCATTGAAGTGTAGCAAACAGACCGCCCACTGAACAGGCTTTTTAAAAGCGAGCTCCATAAATCTTATAGCACCTCCTTTCCATCCTGTGTTAGTGTTTGTACCATCGCATCCGATGACTTTGATGTTAGAAATGTCAATACCCTTTGCATGTAAATAAGATATAATACTGTTAGCAATGCCGTCTGCTTTTTTAGACGTAGGTACCACATGAGTCAGATATTTTGAGCCAGGCTCTTGTACCACAGAGATGTGATCTTCTTTGACAACTCTCCTATAGCGCTTATCATTTACGACCTCAATGACCACTGTTTCATCTGTTCGCCCGTCAAAATACAAACCCTGAAGCGTATCTCCACTTCTGCTCATTTGTTTAGCTTGTAGAGAAGTACGTGCTCGTAGTTTTGACCGTTGAACTTTACTCTTGTCTACAACCAGTGTATTGTCTGTTTCAGATACCATTCCTATGTCTAATAGCAAGCTGGAAACCAAAGCTGCAGTAGCTCTATGTGAAATTCCGTATCGATCACTAACGACAGCAGTGTTTGTAAGATCGAGTCGCATTTGCTGCGATGTAGATGTAGAAGGTAAGTTCCTGCTTCTTTTTGGTGCGGTAAACTCATCATCTTTTTTTGCATTTTCCTTCTTAATTTCTATTTCAGATTCGTGGCCATCACAATCTGCAGTTGGGGAGGACACTTTGGATGAAGAACAACAACGAGCAATCTTTTTCTCTTCCATTTGTTGTCTAGCTAATCGCTTTAAAAGTTTTTCAGATTCCTTTACATCAACTCCTTGTATTTGCATTATTCTGTAATGTCTTTGATCAAATAAAAATTTTCTCTCAAGTACAGGAACTTTCATGTCTGCAGGACAGTTGCAAGCCATGTGAAAAGGGTTTGGACACTTGCATTTGGCAAAGTTGAGGCTGTTGCAAGTGCAAGTAAATGTTATTGTGCATTTGCAGGAGGTAATGTCAAATAACTGTGTCTTGGAGTCAGATATAAACTTTGTATAAGGCTCTGTTCTGCCCTTTTCTTTGTCTCTGTTAAAAGACTTACGAAATTTGTAGTATTTGTCATGTAAGTCATGGATTTGCTTGACTACTCTGTTGCGAGAAACAGTTGGAAGTGAAGACTTTGCGTACAAAGCCTGAACTTGTGCTGCAACTTCGTTAGCCACCAAAGAAAAGCTTACATTCTTTATATTGTTTGAGTTTGTGGTCAAGGCATTTTCGTACCTAACTTGTAAACAGGCAAGAACAACATCAGATTTAGTGGGAAGGCAACGCGGACTAAAGTGTTTAGGATTACCAAAGAAAGGACATTTAATGTCGTTCCGGCACAACTTCGGCATTATTTAAACTGTGATACAATCGACTACTGTGACTTAATGACACGACTAGACTAAAGTTAACGCTAGGCTAGCTGCCCGTTAATCCTTTTCCACTTCCCCCTCCACCACAACCGCGGTCTGCGCATTAAACAAAATACGAGGGGGGATTGATTATTTAAATCTTCATAACAATAACCTCGGTCGTGTGGTACATTACGCTCAGCATATATCGGCATTTTTCTCACTTTTTGAGGAAAATTAACCCCCGCCACTACCCTTGGAGGAGGTATCAACCCCCCAAAAATATTTGATTTTTCAAAACAGGTCCACCCAAGCCGATTTAGAAGGCAATCCAAACAGTTTTGGACACTGTAAAGAAATTATAAAAAAGTTCAAAATTGACTCAAATGATCAAACTTCAGACGCGATGCGCCATAGGTAAATATTGTGCAATTTCAATTTTTTTTTTCTGTTGTGATTGTCTTGACGAAATGCAACTTTTCCGCGCTATTACGTTCCGCCTGGGAAAAAAAGTTGTTTTTCGACCCACCCCGGAGAGTCTCCGCTTGTAGTCCGCAGTCAAATCAAATCAAATAAATTTATTTACGTCTTAGTGTACATAATAATAGATGTTATATCATTGGATAGTGCCAAAGATTTTATGTTTATGTTTATGCAAAAACAAAATATTCTTTTTTTCAGGCCGGTGATGAGCTGTCCAGGGGTAGCAAGCACCTCCGCATCGATGTTGGATGAATTACACGATGATAGCCCGCCTTATTCACAAAGTGATTTTGACCTCATTATTGTTAAAAGTTATGTTTGAACGGTTGCGATGTTCAGCCCTGAGGGATTATTTGCTTTTTTTATTGATTTTTTTAGGAGATTTTTGCAGGAAAAATAATACAAAAAACCTGCTTGAATAGTGGGATACGATTGATATATAAAAAATGGCACAATGTGATTTTTTTTGCTAGTGTTTTTGGCAATTTTTTTTTAAATTGCTTTTTTGGTGCGTTGAACGCACTGCGTTCAACGAGCGAGTCACGCGCGCACTGGAACCCGCCGCTATCGAGTGGGCGGTCGTATGTACGAATCGGGTACCGTCCACTCCGTACGCGGATTGGATCCCAGTTCGCACGCAGCTAGCCAGTTGGGATTAATTTAATAGACGTTAGTGGTTGGTTTTGTTCTTATTTGTGGTTGGTTTTGTTCTTATTTGTGGTTTTTTATATTAGTTGTTATTAAATACTAGATTATTAATTAATGGTTCGTCAAATAAGGGAAAATGTAAACGAGCCCGTGCTTTATGTTGACATTATCGTGTCGCCGGATATTTGTTATATTTGCTATCAACGGGTTGACTTTTAATTTGTACCTATAGAATAGGTCGCTTTTTTCTATTATGAATTCTTTGATGTATGGCATACTAGTCGTTTCGTGCAGTACATTGATGTTAGTGAACCTGCCTTTCCCTGTGACATGCCTTAATAAATTATTTTGTACTCTCTGCAGGGTTACATAATTGGTGTTTGATGTTGAACACCATACAGGGTGTCCGTAAGTTATGATGGGCCTTATTACAGTTTTGTATAATGTTGTTTTGTTTTCCAATGATAACAGACTTTTTTTGTTTAGCAGTGGGTATACCCACTGTCTATAGACAGCTTTAAGCAGATACCTTGTCTCTGGCTTTAAGTGCCCCGAACACTTTGGGTCTAATGTTATTGATGTGCTTAGTGAATGTGAGTCTGTTATCGATAAGAATTCCAAGGTATTTAACACAGCTTTTTTCGACAAGGGTGACATTATTTAATGTAATTGGAGTGATTATTCTGTTGTTGGTAAATTTTGTAAAATGAATTAGCTCTGATTTATTGTTGTTTATTTTTATTAACCACTTGTCGAAAAAAGCTGTGACTCATCCATTTAAGAATACTCACAGCCTGTGAGTATTCTTAAATGGATTCTTATCTGGGCTGCCGCTACTTGTGTGTAGTAGGAATGCGCATAAATTGTGGTGTCGTCAGCATACAGTCCTATTTTAGTATGTGAAAATTTTGGTATGTCCGAGGTGTAGATGCTGTATAATTTGGGTGCCAGGACTGTACCTTGCGGGACGCCTGCATTTAGTGGGTGGAATTGCGACGTTACTTTGTTTAAGTTAGTTTTAAAATTGCGGTCTTTCAGGTATGATGCTAGTAAATATAGTAAGGGGGTGGGAATATTAAATTGTTTTAATTTAAACACGAGACCGTCCAGCCAAACTTTATCGAAGGCATTTTCGATGTCCAGCAGAACCATGACCGTATTCTGGCCACGGTTGTTAGCCTGCTGTACATCGTGAACGACCCTCACTGCTTGGTGAACGGTTCCGTGTTTAGGGCGAAATCCGAATTGTTCATTGGGTGTGATATTGTTTGTTTTGTCCCATTTATTTATATTGGCGAGAATGACTCGTTCGGCTATTTTTGATAACGAACTTAAAAGACTTATTGGGCGGTAGTTGGATGGAATAATATTATCTTTGCCTGGTTTCGGAATTGGGATAATGGTTGCCGTTTTCCATTGGGTGGGGAAATATTGTAATTTGATTACACTGTTTATTATACAGGGTGGCCGATTTTTTTGAATAAAATTTGTTCGCCTGGAAGGGGGCCATCCAATGATACCAAAGTCGACCCCTCACCACCACCCCATGGGGTGGGGGTGGGGGCAACTTTAAAATTCTAAATAGGAACCCCCATTTTTTATTGCAGATTCAGATTTCCTATTAAAAAATAAGTAACTTTTATGGAAAAACTTTTTTTAAATTCCTGATAGATGGCGCTGTAATCGCAAGAAACCCGATTTTTGGGAATATCTTAAAAAATTACACATCGGATCGAAAAAAAGAAAAACTTCATCAATAAGTTAACATCTATTTTTAACGTTACCCAAGAACAAGGACCAGGACGTAGTAGTTTTTTGTTCCCATCGGGGTGCTAGTTTTAAGAGAGTCCCCCTGCCTCTCACAGTTTAATAAATTAGATTAAATGTTCGAAATTTTGACCTTGAACTTCTAGACACTTATTTATTCTTTTTTCGAATGATTGTACACAGGAGAGGAGCATATCTGCGGGAATTTCAGCACAAGCGTTTCTTATGCGCTGTATCATGTCTTCCCGAGTTGTTGGTGCTTGTTGAAAAACCTTATCTTTTAGATAACCCCACAGAAAAAAATCCGGCGATGTCAAATCAGGTGACCTAGCAGGCCAATTAACCGGGCCACCTCTGCCGATGCATCTGCCATTGAAATCACGGTTCAATACTTCCCGTGCTGTTGCTGAGTAATGGGCTGGGCAACCATCATGCTGAAACCACATAATTTGTCGAATGGGCAGGGCAACATCCTCAAGTAGAGGTGGTAGTTCATGTTCCAGGAAATTTCGATATTTGATCCCATTTAAGGTTCGTAACCAGTGTCGTAACCAGTGGGGATTGTCCACACTCCAATAGTGCATGTTATGCCGATTAACGGAACCATGGTTTGTGAATGTGGACTCATCTGAAAATAGTACATTAGCGAAGAAATTAGGATTTCTTTGTATTTGCTGAACTGCCCATTCACAAAATTCTACTCGCCGATGAAAATCATTGCCATGAAGTTCCTGATGCAGTGAAACCCGGTATGGGTGATACTTGTGACGATTCAATATTCTCTGAATACTATCTCTGGAAATCCCGAGATCCCGATGTATTTCCCGAGTATATATATATTGAACAGCTGCTATCACATTAATTTCATTAGCTTCTCCTGTGACAGTGTTTCTTCGTTTTCTTTTTTTAAGTTGTACACTACCGTCGGATTTAAAGGATTCAACAACTTTATAAAAAAACGAGCGTGAACGAATATTATCTGGAAAACGTTCAGCATATAAGGCAACAGCATCGTCAATATTCCGCCTACATTCTCCGAAAATCAGAATCATTTCAATTTTTTCTTCTACGGTTGCAGTATTCATTTCTCACTCGTACGTTTCTAAATCAACTGCGAATGTTGCGTCTATAAAAACGGAACATATGTTTTTATACATAGACGCATAAGTAAGGTATAAATATGTTTTTATAACATACCTACATATGTACAAACCTGGACGCATTAGTAAGGTATAAATATTTTTAATTTGTACCAACATCAAAAGGAATTAATTAATTTAATTTATTTTGAATTCCCTTACAATTCTCGTATACACTAATTATATTTTTTAATGGGAAATCCGAATCTGCAATTTTTCAAGATATTCCCAAAAATAGGGTTTCTTGCGATTACAGCGCCATCTGTCAGAAATTAAAAAAAAGGTTTTCCATAAAAGTTACTTATTTTTTAATGGGAAATCCGAATCTGCAATTAAAAATGGGGGTTCCTATTTAGAATTTTAAAGTTGCCCCCACCCCCACCCCAGGGGGTGGTGGTGAGGGGTCGATTTTGGTATCATTGGATGGCCCCCTTCCAGGCAAACAAATTTTATTCAAAACTTTTTTTGATCCGATGCGTAGTTTTCGAAATATTTCAGTCTTTAGATAAATCGGCCACCCTGTATAGTGCAACTGCACTATGGCCTTTTTTGGTAGGTTTTTAATTAGAATGTTATCGACACCCTTGCGGCCTTGAGTTTACGGTGAATTCACCGTGAATACACCGTTTATGTGCAGTGAATATACCGTCCATTTGTGACATTTGTAGACGGTAATTCACGGTGATTTCACGGTTAATTCACGGTGATTTCACGGTAAATTCACGGTGAACTCAATACATCTCACGGCTGCTTACGCAAGCGTATACGCGTCTGTAATGGCATAGCTGAACATTAATCCTCATCTGCTCACTGAGCAGTGCTCAGTAACGAATAATGGCTAGCTATAGTCGTGTTAAACCTATAGGATATACCTACCCTTGCGGCCTTTTAGTTCACGGTTTATTCACCGTGAATTCACTGTGAATTCACCGTGAATTTACCGTGAATATACCGCCAAAATAC